ACCCCCCCCCCCCTCCCCCCCTATGTTCGAGTTTGTCCTGATTTTCCAAACCCCCCTCCCCCCTCGGCTCGGACATCCTTTGTGAATGGCCCCTTGCGCGCTTCCCCTTGTGTATCACATACAGTACACCAGTGTAATACATATGTTATAATACCTTCAGCTTTGCATTTCAATTTAATCTGACTGCCTCTGGTAGTGGTTTTATCTTGAGGTTCTTCAATGAAAGTGATTTCTCCCACAACCTGGACACTGATCTTCTTAGTATCCATGCCAAATTCATTCTTTGCTATACATGTATAGTTGCCTATATCCTGCTTGCTCACGGAGTCTGTAAGATAGGTAAGATAGATATGATGAATTCTGTTTAAACACGGCTCAGAAGTCAGAATAATGTATAATGTACTAGTTGCCTATATCCTGCTTGCTCACGGAGTCTGTAAGATAGATATGATAAATTCTGTTTAAACACGGCTCGGAAGTCGGAATAGTGTATAATGTATCAGTTGCCTATATCCTGCTTGCATGCTCACGGAGTCTGTAAGATATATATGATAAATTCTGTTTAAACACGGCTCGGAAGTAGGAATAATGTATAGTTTCCTATATTATGCTTGCTCACGGAGTCTGTAAGATAGATATAGTACTAAATTTTGATCTAATCCAGCTATAGACTAAATTTTGATCTATACAAGAAGAACAAACTCCATCGCCACAGCTAGAAAGATCATGTTAAAATCAGTAAAATTGCAAAATTTGGCCGCAAAATGTTGAAAATATAGCCCTGCGAAATTTGCATACTTTGTATTAATTTGCATCACGCGCGGGAAAATGCACCACATTTGGGCCAAAAGTGCTGCATTTTCCCGCGCGTAATACAAATTAATACAAAATTTGCAGGGCTATATTTCCCGCATTGTACAACATTTCGCAACCAAACTTTGCAGTTTTACTAATTTCAACATGTTCTTTCTAGCAGTGGTGATGGATTTTGTTCTTCTTGCCCAGATCAAAATTCAGTCTGTATCTCGAATCATCTATTACGAGGACTTGAAATCTAGTCCAGTCCTCACAGTCGTATTTGAAACTGCCTCCTCTGCAGGCCCTCGTTGTGTCATGGAAAGGTCACGATTTCGAGAGGGCCTGCGGAATCTTGTAAAATGAATAAATGTTGTTTTGAACCTGCTTCGTTAAAGAAGGCAGTTTTATTTGTGCAACGTTGGTGTGGACAACAATCATTATCGTTAAAAAATGCTTCCTTCCACGTCCTAAGAGTCGCCAGTTTAATTTACAAGTTTCACGCCGCTTTTTTATATCCTGTTTATATTCAAGATTATATAGAAATTTACTTGCTGACGTGACGCCGGCGCCATTTTTTTTACAACATTCCGCAGGCCCTCGCCAGATCGCGACCTTCCCATGACGCAACGAGGGCCTGCGGAGGAGGCAAGTTTTGAAATACACTCGAACGATTTTTCGCATCCCCTCAGAGTTGTAACTTAACACGTGCCCGCTTGCATATCATATCATGACAGGCAAGTAAACGTTTTGTCTTGCTTGCCCGATTGGGCAAGTTGCCTTGCTACAAAAAGCTGAGCATATTTAAGTTTACGTTTTCATTGTCGGATTTCTTTTATAGTACATATGTACTTGATTTCAAATTTTGTTTTTTTGTGGGCCAAAGCTAGATCTGAGGCATGAGTATAACTAGGAATGTTCGGTATGAGAAATTTCCGGTATCGGTATACCGAAAAAATTATACCGATATTATCGGTATACCGGGTTTCCTTTGATAATTATAAAGGAAAATTCTTTAATGGAAGTTTGAAGGAAATTTTGAGTAATTCTGAAAGGGAAAACGATAATTTCGAAGCTGTTTCGAACATGTTTCGAACGACATGCACGTACTCAGTGTAAAATCTCACTGAAGTGGAAATTCTAAATGATTGCAGTAGAAAGTTCTTTGAATTGCCATTCAGTAGTAAAATAAAGGTTATGGTTTCGCCATATAGTTGGTAAATTTAACGCGGTATACAGAAAAATTCCGATATATCCGAAATTTCGGCATATCGGTATGGTTGAATATCCGGTATCGATATACCGATATTGATTTAATACCGATATTTTCGGTATATCGGCATAACGAACAGTCCTAAGTATAACATAGCCATATAGAGCAGTAGGAGAACAGGTCGACATGTTGTCCTCCTAATTTATACCTCCTACCTAGGTACCCCAGTGGCCATTGTCTGATGGCAAGTGACACCCGACAAAGTCACACCCTGGGATTTCGAGTTATGCTAGTATATTACACATACCTATGACAAGATCTTCATTATTCACAAGTGTATATCGTGGGAGAGAGAAGTTAATGTTGACACCATCCTTTCGCCATGTGTTTTTAGCATAAGGTGCAGCTTTGGCGTGACATTTTATCACTCCCTTGGCTCCAAGGAACAGAGTTGTTTTGCCAGTATTTGTGTCAAACACAGGTTTCTCAGCTAGAACGGGAAAAAATATTGTTAATGTCTATTATTTGACTTGTGCCAGACTGTGATCGCATTTAAAAATAGAACAGAGAGAAATAAAACTAAACAGCCGCGCTGTTTTATACAAGACGATTTTCAGCACGGTCAACCGGGTTCTATCCTTAGGCCGGGCTGAAATTCCAATCAGCCCCTAATACAGATTGTACACTCACAAAACAATGACAAATTATCTTTGGTGTGAAAGGAGCCCGCGTCCGCTTTTAATAGAAGCGGCCGTTTAGTAAAGAACTGTCTTTGGTATACAGCTGTTTCAAATAAGGTTGTCCACGAGCAAAGCGGAAAAGTCGAATACGACTACAGGCATGCTTTACCAAATGGCCGCTTATTATAAAATTGAGCGCAAAATTCGGTGCTGTTTAGTACAGGTTCGACTGTAATTAGGCTTTTCCCACAAGAGATCGCAGTGCATTCTGGGATCGTTTGGAGAGACAAAATATATGGCGACGGGCGTCAAATATGTGAAAGGGTAGAAGTATCTACTATCAAATATCAACTTTTAAGACGACCAAAAATGCAATATCTCCTTTTTTACATTAAACATTTAATTTAAATGTTTGCTGCCATATTTCTTGTCCCTCCAACATGGGATTCGCGCGACTAAATCCAGGACTTTGGGAAATGGCTAATTAAAATCGTTTCATTAACTTACCTTGTACATCTAAGTGAGCAGATTGATAAATATTGTCCAAGCCATTATCAGCAACGCACTGATACATTCCAGTGTCAGTTTTGGCCAAATTAGAGAAAGCGAGTGTTCCGCCATCTATTTTACGTGTAGCGCTAAATAAATAATGAAACCATAATCTTTACGTTAGGCAATCTTTTGTATCCAGAAATTTTACGGGCCCTCTCATTGCTTTCGAGGCCCCTTTTGAGCTGGAGGTTACGATGTTACTCTGAAGGCTAGTTTCCGGAAATTGCTACATAGTATACTTCAAAATAAGGTTTCCGCTTTTTCAATTTTTAAAATAAGTTAAGCCTGGTTCACATATGCCTGCGGTACGCCTGCGACTGTATCATTATGCCTCTACTTGCCACCGAAATACCGGCAAAGTTGAAATCAAGTCAACTTTCCCGGCCTACCGCCGATGTAACTGTGGCACTGGAGGCAATCGGCGAACAAATATTCACATAATTCACGTTTTAAGCTACCACCGGCATCGTCGCCGGTACGTCGCAGGCATATATGTGAACCAGGCTTTAGGGTTAGGGTTGGGGTTAGTGTTTGGGTTTAGTTTTCCGTGCCCAAGCGAATTATACTAAACGACCCTCATCGGGCGGGACGTTTTAATAGCTAATTCGCTCTTTTTATGCTATTACTTATAAGTGTCTTGCTGGGAAAATAAATATACTGATACTTTCTAAAATACGGTCGGATGAAAAAACCCAACACATCAAAACTGGTAAGCGGCATTTATATTTTTTCTGCCTTTTAAAAATACAAGGTCGGTGTAGGATCTAACCCGAAAAGTAGGGTCTAATCGCCTGCGAGCAGGCAGGACATCACGTGATAAGAACACATGTTGGTTTTATATTTTTTGATTGTTTGTTCGGATTACGAAGGGCAAAAGTCAGGTACATTTGCATGTTTTTGGTCCTGTTTTCTATGTATTTGTAAAGTAATTTGTTTCTTGTAGCGTAGTTTATAATGTATTTGTATTGTTTCTATAGAAACCACCTTTAAAGCGATATTTTGTACGAAAATATATTGATATATGAATTTAATATGGATTCAATTTTATACGTGGTGCGTTTCGGATAATCCCTTTCAAGAACATATCCGTAATCCAACAACAACAAAAAGCGTGGTCTTATTTGTATAACCATGGTAATAAAATAAATTTTATTATCCATGGTATAACATATACCTATATGTTTGAGACCTATGTACAAGTACCTATATATATGCTTGAGAGATACTGTATCTATTAAACTTACCTGCCAGCAAGTTTAACACCATTTTTGTACCACTCGTATGTGGGCGTTGGGAATCCTGTAGCATTACATGTCCAAGAATGATTGGAATAAACTGATGGACTGACAGCTTCGATAATTTTACCAATCCAAGTAGGTTGAACTGTTTAATAAGAACATTTAAAATTAGGATTACAGTGGAGTACCATCAAACCAGATATTCTCTTGCGCGCAACATTGCAATATTGCGACGCAATGTTAAGTAAAAATAAAAATATAGCCCTGCGGAATTTGCAAATTTTGTATTGATTTGTATTACGCGCCTCTCTCCTCCGCAGAGGCTTACATGAAGTTTCTAGTGAGGGAAAAGTGAGCGCGCAAGGAGTGATGGGAAGAGCTAAATAAAGGAAGCCTCTGCGAGTTAATGCAATCAATATGGCGTCGTATATAATCGTTTGTAGCGAAGTTCGATCAACCATCGGGGGTGTTAAAACATGTTTTCGACTTTCATTTTAACTTCCAGGCGTACTTGAGTATCCTGGGGTGAATTCAATATCACTATCTTCTTCTGTCCATTTGCATCGAAAAATATTGAGAAATTGCAAACGAATGTCAATGGATACGAGCTATCTGATTATAAATATCCTCTTACTTGCAACATTTCTTTATAAAAAATGACTATATTGAACTTCGATACTCAGATTATGAAGATTCATTTCAATTTCTTTCACATTTCCGTCGATTTCAAGTTTAAAAAAAGGTTAAACAACTAGTTTGATTCAAAAACCATACTTCGTCGCATTATCTGGCAGAGCCTCCCCAACTTCATTTCAATCTTCCCATCACACCGCGCGCTCACTTTTATTCAGGAAACTTCATGTCAGTTATTTGTAAATACTTAAGGAGGCTCTGCGGAGGAGAAAGATTACGCGCGGGAAAATGCACCACATTTGGACCGAAAGTGGTGCATTTTCCCGTGCGTAATACAAATTAATACAAAATTTGCAAATTGTGCAGGGCTATATTTTGCGCATTTTACGACATTTCGCGGCCAAACTTTGCAATTTTACTAATTTTCACATGCTCTTTCTAGCTGTGGTGATGGATTTTGTTCTTCTTGCCTAGATCAAAAAATTTAACCTAAAAGAGAAGAAATAAACTGTAAAGAAATAAACTGTATACCTTCAAATGTCAAAGATCCTTCAACAGTGTCATTTTTATCTCCTATCGTTGCGGTACAGAAATATTGACCAGCATGATTTCTTGATGCAGATTTGATGACCAGTAATCGAGGATCACCATAGTCGAATGTAATGCCGTCTACGCCATTTTTAACTGTATGCTCTTTATCATACACATCAATTCGTTTCCATGAATACACAGGAGTTGGTCTGAAGGCATAAAACATGATTTTTCTCTGTTCCCGGTGTTATGCACTCACTACTTAGGGTCTGTTAATATGGGCAAAAGTTATCCCGGTTAAGGAGAAAAGTTTTCGACTAGCCAAATACTTTTGTTCTGTTCATATGGAGAAACGTTATCCCGCTTACCGGGTAAAGTTTTCGGCTGTGACGTAGCACTGAACATCAATTGAATTGAAAAGTTGCTGACACGACAGAAAGTTATCCCGCTAAGCGGGAAAGTTGTGTTCATATGGGAAAACATTATCCCGGTCACCGAGATCTCGCCTGTCAACAAGCGGCGAGATCTCGGTACACGGGAAAACTTGTTGTCTCGTATGAACGCAGTGTAACTTTTCATATTATTTTCATACCAAGGCGAGATCTCGTTTGTAAACTTGTCGAAAAGTGTTCTCGCTAACTGGGATAACTTTTGCCCATATGAACAGGCCTTCGGGCGGTGAAAACATACGTTTGTGATAGATAGATATTTAATAAACTTCTCCCTCAAAGAGCTTCTCAGAAGGGCAGGAGCGAAACTTGAGGGGGATATGGGGGGG